TATATATATATATATATATATAGCACGCTAAGCAACGATAATATAAGTAACGCTATAACGAACCGCCTTCATAAGAAGTATATATGTTTAAACGGCTTCACAGTGTATAAGCCGTCACATTATCCTCGCTTTTAAGCATAGAGCAGCACATTGCATATATGCAGCAGAATATTTCTATTGCCCTAATCGTATTCGGGTTCCTTTATTCCAAGGACAACATCACCACTGGCTACTTTGTATGGCACATCAACGATGGAACACCATCACTTCGATCATAGCGTTATGATTCTGAATAGTGAGGTATGCATACTTCCACTACAACTACCGTTACTACAACTACATCCGTCCATTCGTCATGCCGTTGCTACAACTACATGACATTCAGTTTTTAAAAGCGTTTTTACTTTGAACCGAGTTTTACCTTGTTTTCAGGGCAACAACATCTTCCAGGCGCTATCATCCGATGATTATAGGATATTAATCAAAGTACTTGAACACGCCATTTTGTCAACTGATCTTGCACTCTATTTCAAGTAAGCTAATTACATATTTGGTGATGTTATCCCTCTACGGTTTGAATTGCAATAGCATAATAAATAGATCCGTGACTACGCTATACTTTGATATTATGCATGAAAACAGGAGTATTATTAATTATTAATTATTATGATATTATGTATCACTAAATAAAAATAAAATAATATTTGTTATGCAGTGGGATATATTATGTGTGCGCGTGCGTGCGTGTGTGTGCGTGCGTCTGTGCAGTGTGTGTGTGTGTGTGTGTGTGTGTGTGTGTGTGTGTGTGTGTGTGCGTGTGTGCGTGTGCAATAGACCAACGTAGACACTATTATATGGTTAATGGCATCGGTGAACTATCTATGGTGAACCGAAGTATCAGTTTTATCACTACTACATAGTTATTACACCGTTGTTATGCCTTTCCTTAATTCGCGCAACGCGTGGGCAGGCGGGCGGATGGATGAATGGATGGATGGATAGATGAATGGATTGATGGGTGGATGGATGGATGGATGGATGGTTGGATGGATGAATGGAGGGATGGCTGGATAGATGGACGGATGGATGGATAAAAAGACGCGCAAACAGACGGACGGGCGGACGGACGGACGAATTGATAGACCGCAGGATGGCAATGTGAATGAACGTTAGGATGGTTGAATGGTTGGATAGATGAATGGATGAATAGTTAACTAACATATATTAACTGTACTAAAGCACATGTATATAGCAAACGATTTTGCCAACAATCTTTTTTCTCCATGTTACGTGAACAGAAAGAAGGGCGACTTTGTATCAATGGTGGAAGGCGGTGAGCGGGACTTTATTGATGACTCAAGACGGGAACTTCTTAGGTGTGTAGTTGTCTAAGATAAACAGATAAGGAAATTGTTTGCGAAAGTCCATTAATACGTTAAATACTATAATTTTCTATAATCTCACAGAGAAGCATAAAGAGGAGAATACTGCCGATGATGACGACGACGACGGCGAAGACGACAACGATAACGACAAAGACGACAACGACGACGACGATGATGATGATGATAATGACGATAATGATGACGATGATGATAGTAATAGTATACTAGTTTATTTAAATAGTCCCTTCCACATACTAGACACAACTGGCTAGGTGTGTTTGGTGTATCTCTGCGGCCCGTAAATATATATATTACGTGATAAAAATTAATGTTTGAAATATCACGTTCACCAGAGGCATGATGATGACCGCATGTGACGTGTCAGCAATTTCTAAACCCTGGAAGGTGCAACGACAGGTTGCCGAGCTGGTCAGCAGCGAGTTCTTTGAACAAGGCGATCTGGAGAAAAACGTCCTTCACGAACAACCAATTGTGAGTGTAGACATTAGCAACGAGAAGATTTATGCCTCCACCTTCTTGTCAATCTTTAACATCAACTCTCTAATAGGGGATTTTTTGCATATATATGCCACCGGTCAGTCTGCAGAATCTTATATAGGCACGTACGCTCTGGTACATACATCCCGGGGGCCTGTTGTCAGAAACACCGTGCTGTTATGACTAATAATAACACAAATTTTGTGTCTGACAACGAGCCCAGTCTTCTGGATGGCCCAGGATTACACGCACAAGTAGGAATGAGAACAAGAAATAACATTCTAGCCACAGCTGAAAACCTTAGCTCTATCTTTAGCAATAATCAATCATCTAAGTAAATATTTTAGGTGGCCAGCAGGTCTCAATCCATACAGCTATAATCCCGGAATCAGCAAAAAATATTGATATGATCTCAATAAGAGTGATTAGGTGTTATTCATTTTTAATCATGTATTTTTGTGTGCCGTTATAGCTGGTGGATAGATGTTGAAATTTCTGTTGTTCGTTTTACATTTACAAATTATGTATTTTAAAGGCCATGATGGACAGGGAGAAGAAAGATGACCTACCAAAAATGCAAGTTGGATTCATTGATGCCATCTGCATACCCGTTTACAAGGTTGGTCGACTTTCTATTTTTGGTTTATATTGTTAATAAAATTCCGGTACGAATTATGGTTTAACGCGTTACTAAGTTTGATACCATGCATTTTACTATATCTATAAGCTTTTGTTTTTGCAAAATCGAAGTATACAAGAAATAGCAGTATATGTTTTGCGTGATATGAAGGTGTGCCACAGTCGGATGTATTATATAGGTGTATGCACGTACAAGACATGCATAATAATTTATTTCTTACAGTATGCACTTAAAAACTGTACATCGCATAGCATTTCCTCGATCTTGATGAAGAAAATAAGCGATTATTTGTATATATTCGGAATCGGTGTCAATTATCGGTAAATATATTAACCAAATGTTAATACCGAATGAATAATGTTATCAACTAAGCAGTTGTCAACTAATTATTACCTATTATGGTTATCGGGTGCAGCCAATAGCGATTCGGAGCGCAAACATAGTTAGTCGTATTTATTGTATCCAGCAGACACACGATATGCAATTCTAATCTGTCTTCATAATATCGTGGCTCGTAGAAACTTTATTATCAGCTAAAATTATGATATCAATATTATAATGTAAATGATATGATATGATAATAAGATGATGAGATGATAATGATAATATTATGAAATCATGTATGCTCTCCTATGAAAGTATACATATTTTCATGTTTATATTATAATGATAATAACCAAAATAATAACGTAAATGATGATATATTATATCAACTAAAAACACATTTGTACATAAAGTATAGGAGATAACGGTTGAACATATGAACAATTGTACTTTTGAACATATGATAACAACCAGTGCTAATTTCTCATGTGCAAAATGCTTCAACGTCGTGGACGTTCTGATTCCATTACATTGCGTTTACTACTGAAACATAATTATATTAGACACTATCGTTGCTAAAACCTACATACATGTTGTTGGTTCACGTTGTGTAACCGGAAGCCTGCATGCGCTCTATAGGGGGTTGTGCTCTACTGGGCATTGATGTTATCGGCGTAATTATTGTTGTCTGAAATAATATATTTGATGAGTTGTGATGCTTGCGTAACTTCAGGGATACGGATTGGTTCCGGATAGGTGTAGTAGATGTACTACGACGAATTTATAAATAGCAATAACAACAACAACAATAATAATAATAATAATAATAATAATAATATTATTAAATATTAATCCTGTTCGCACAACCGCATCACACCGGGTATGTTATATAGCGGTATTTTAACTACTGAATTCAGATATACATTGGTACCTGCCTAAACGTGTGACACGCATCACACACAAATGTAGCGGATAATTCAGACACGCAGCATAAGCCATACATATATGCTGCGATAAGGTGATGCACATAAGGCATCTTGGAATGAATATGCGGCGAACCGCCGCAACATTTGATGCAATCGCCAACAATTGTTGAAAAAGCTGTCGTAAATATTAGTGTAGAAAATGAGTGAGTATGCAAATTTAGGCACGTTATATGGAAAGTTCAACTATCGTTAATCTGCTTTGTTTATTTAATTTGATCGGAATATGTTTCCAGTGAACATTTTATGTCAGTGAGATAGTCAACGCATCTATCGCTATTTTATTTGGGAATATTTCAGTCTAGCATGACTATATCGCATCGCAAATTCTCGATGGGTCCTCTTTGAAAAAACGATAATTTTTTTTAAATATAATAAATACTTTATTTACCGCCGGACAGCAGCAAGTTTTAAGTTTGATCGTGTTGACACGCACGTTTCCTCGCTATCGGAAACGTCAAAACGGCAAAATATAAAGAGAAAAACATTTTAAAAACGTTCGCGTTCTCTGTTTAATAGCTGTCTCATTCATTAGAGCAATTTTTAGCAGCTACATATAACCGGTGATTACTTGAACTAAATGGGAATACGTTAAATTTCGTTACGTTTATGCATTTCTAGAGAAATCGAAAAAACGGAACGGACGGAAATTCTCTGAATACATGTTTATTTCACGTTAACTTATCGGACTGCACTCATACAAAATCAGCTTCCCCGCAAACTCCGATCAGAATAGAATTATTCGGATGTCTAGTAAGGCGCTACGGGTATCGTGCGTCTGTTTCCGTGTGTTGGCGCACGAAATCCAATGACGCTTTGTCAACCATGTGACTACGCAGGGGCTTTAAAACTAAGCTGTTGGCAAAAAAAAGATATTCGTTTACACGAGAAAAATACGATCTCTAATTTTTGAAGCTGGCTTAAAAATGAGTCGGGCTAAGTTACTTTGAGCTACTTAATCCGCACGTCCGGTAAGATTATAAGATGGCGTATTAAAACACGATTAAAGCCGGCTCAAAAAGTGCCGTCTGAACAATATAGAAAGTGCAATATCATGATTGAAATAAACGTATAACTGCCGTTGATGAATGTTTTTCCAAATGACATCGGGCACTCGTAGGCACCCACATCTTTATCAGTGCATCTATCACACTGCAATCAGTATAGCAATCACATTTTACCATATCTACGAGACTGTAATCTGTATACGCAAATCAGCGCACGGTAGGTATTATGTTTGAGCATTTAATGGTAGAAAAGATAGTCGTGTTTTTCACATAATGAGATTATTTTAATTAAAGGACTAGTGCTAACCAATGCAACAATAAAACTATAGGCGGCCTATCCAACCACCCGTGACAATAAAATATAATTTATCCGCTTCCAAGACATACTATCTCCATGCTATTTAATCTGTCTCAACGTTATATTCTCGAGGCAGTTATTATTTACTATATGAGCTACATACCGCATACTTTATTGGGCTTACTGTGCATATAAGCTGGCATTCCATTTTCATATCAGCAGGAATAATTTTTACGATATCCGTCATTTTAGCGGTATTAAGCGCAGCTGTCTTCTGACGATTCATATTTATACGCAACCAGGCGGCTATAGTGTGATTATAGAAACACACTACATTTGGAAGAATCTGCTTGCTAAAACGAGTATTATCTTAAGAAAAACATGGGAAAGTATTTAATGCTTTCATCATAATGGAACAATATAATATTTTTAGTAGAAATTAGGACTAAAAATTAAATCTAAAATGCTCAGTAATAATAATGTACATTGTAGGTGATGTCCAAGCTGTGGCCAGACATAAGTCCACTCTACAATGGTTCGTTGCAGAATCGGAAAAACTGGCAATGCCTTGCAGAAGGCGTAGAACCTGATGGTGACTTCCCCTTACCAACCACACGTATTTTATTAAAATTTGATAAATCCGCTGTTTAGTTCATCAACATTCCCAAGAGATGTCACCAAAAGTCGTTTAATTGAGGTGGATCTCCCAACATAATATATTAACCCAATATGTGTAATCGCTTTGTTTAACCGTGACCTATTATAATGTCAATAAAGTCCACAGTGTGAAGTAACGTGTTTTTGTGATAATTGCAACTATGTTCGTCCCCACCGAGTATGAAAATAAAACCCCCGACGTAACCTGACATATTAATACATTTATGAGCATAAACAAAAGAGTGGAAATCAATGTTGGGATATGAAGACGTTTTTACTTGGATGAAAATATTATATTTCTCTATCAGCTATTATGTATTTGATTCGCTCATTATAACATAAATTTCAACTACTTGCATCTGCGTAGATAGGTATACGATTCTAGGTTGTTCTAGCTCACGTTTAGCCTAATTGCCGCATATTTCAAGCCGTTTGTCTTCTTCTTCGTTATTAGATTAGGCAAAATTACAATTGAAAGTACCAAAATAAAGTTGTTAGCTACAAAATGTTGTTTTGTCGTATCCGCGTGCATATGTGGGATTATTATGACAATAAGTGATGAACTGGCAGCAAGGCTAAATGTGAGATGTACTGAAAGGTATATATGTAATGATGTCAACGTACGGTGTTGCATGCATATACTTATCCTTATATCTTGTAATGTACGAGGTTATATCATAAGCTAATAAACGTTGCAGCATTACTTATTGTTTGTGACTATTACTGTGCTCCGAAATCGTGAAAAAGATACGCAATATCAATAAGATTGGGATGGAATTTATAAAGCGGAATTTGAAATCACTATAGAAAAACGCAAAAATTCAGTAAATCGATCCACGTATAGAACGGCCATAAAATCGCGACCTTTTAGTATTATTGTCACAATGAAATAGAATTAAATGGCTGTACATATAAAACTAACTAGTAGAGAAAATGTAAAATTTCGAACATTAACCAGGCAACGCGCGCGTGTGAGTGCGTGCGCTGGCGTATGTGTGTTTGTGCGCGTTTGTTTGCGTGCGTTTTTGTGCCCCTTATTTCCATTATTCTTATCCTTTCAGGACAAAACGGGATCAGTAATTGATGACACACATTGTGAAGGTACTGTTAATGGACGGGAATCCGACACCTCGGCAGCCGATCTCAGCATTATAACGGAGAACAACGACGTTGACATGCCGGAGGCAAAGACTATAGCAAGCGAGAAAATGGACCAGAATGCGACTCCAGATGGCAGCAGCGAGAAAATGGACCGGAATGCGACTCCAGATGGCAGCACTATACAATATCTGGCTACGACTGAGAACGCCTCCGATGAGAAACCTGAGGTAACTGGGCGGGATGACGCGTATATCTCGGCAAACCCTGAACCTACCTCAGCGGTACAAATAAGTGGAGCGGAAAGCAAAGATGGCAATGTAAACACTGCATCTAAGCGTAACGAGCGTGAAGTGGATGCCAACCAGAGTGTAAACTCTAGCGCGCTGTCGGATGTAAGCAGTCCGAATTCGAAAACGTCGTCTTGGTCATCGAAAAACACAGAATCGTCAGCTCCCAGAACCCCCACCCAGGTCAAACCCCACATAACGTCGGTTCCTGACGAGAAACCAGACCGTCGAGGTGACGTCAGTAAAAGTAGCCACGAGAAAGGTTCGACGAATACGAACAACACAAATATCACACGCAGTAAATCCCCGGATATTGCACCAGACCATATTGCCACAACCAGTGCGGCAAATAGTAAAGTAGATAACGCCGGTAGTGCAGACGCGAACACAAACAAGAGTCCTAAACCCAAAAGTAAGTTTTGTGTTTTGTGCTGACATGAGTTCCCATGCACCACCAGTGTCTGGCATCACTGGGTATATCGATCATAATATTTAAAATTCACGAGTTAGCGAGTATACGAGAAAGACGTTTAGCAAAATTAACAGAATTGCTGCTGCGACTACATATAAAGTGTTTTTAGATTACGAATTATTCAATTCATAATTTATAATTATTGATAGGTTCGTTTATGATATGGCCAACAAGTCGTAGACGATCATAACAACCACAATTACGATGTGTTATATTTCCCATTTTGCCGCGGTAATATATTTTCATAGTAGGCCACAGGTATACCCGCAATTAATTAACATAGCTGCCCCGGGTTGAAACATTCATGCAGATTTATTAATAACTTATTCATAGATTATCGAACATATCGTCGAACAGCCTAATTCTTATTAGGATGGTTTACCTTACAGTATGCCCAGTATCAAGTTTAAAAACATCGAAACGATGCAGAGAGTGTCACGCTTGAGACTGTTTAAGGCAACTCCGTTATAAAACCTCACCTATAGATAACATTCCAACAATAACACGAATATCGCATTATTTGAATATCGCTCGTGTGATAAATGCACTACGCCTTATAAATTTATATTTATATATGTCGTTGTTATGTTTAAGAGACAGGAGCGAAACATTGATCGTTAACAACAAAGCTATCGCTAATTATTCTTAATCGCATTTTTGATTGTGTGCGAAAACATGAGCACTTTTACACAATATTGTTGCATTACTTTGCATTTTAAATGTAATAAGTATTTAGGTCAGGAATGACGTATATATATATATATATATATATATATATATATATATATATATATATATATATATATATATATATAGTTAACAGAGTTATGCGTCAGGATTAGGCGCCAATCATTTTATAGCCTGGTTAAATCGTTCAATGATAATTCAAGCTGCGACAGAAATAATATTAGGGGGCATGGTATTTAAGACAACAATTACAAATTTACAACGAGGAATTGTGAATTTATTTATAACATTCAATGTGCGTCATCGGCGAACTGTGTGGTTATAGTATACTAAAACATCCTACATGGAGAAAATTTAAATACGTAGGTACATCTTTACTTTTAAAATATTCGGGTAATCCCTGCTGCATCAATTTGTAAACATTATAACATATATAGTACTTTCTGGTGCACTGATGTTCTTAGTATATAATGGTGCATAACAAACTGAAACATCGTTACAGGATTTCAATCGTGCATGTCAGTGCTTATTACTATTGCCAGTGCTATATCGAATCTGCTAAAAGCGTTAACTATGAGAGTTAGTTGGCAAATTTTACTTGGATTCTGCGCGTAGGTTTCATTTGTTCATGTGTTCACCCATTCTACCAGCACGTGATTTCGTGTATTGCTGACTCATTTTTCATTCACATGTTATTTGTTGGCCCAACAGAAGTTCGCCGAAATTCAACCGAATTTGCAACCTCTCATGAATGGTGTGCTAACAAATCGCCACAACTGGCAGACGCTCGCAGAAGAGAACGAACGCAAGAAGGAGGGTCGAAGTGGTTAGCAGTCAATTTTCTATGTCACGTGGCGTGTTACAGATACATTCGATTAGCGCGCCACATTGTTGTTATTATAGCACTGCTATTCACGAACGAGAAACGTCATTGCATCAGTGCACTATAGTCGATCAACTAGTAGCGTTACGTCTCTTTGGTTGAACTGCTAGATGAGAATGAGATGATGTCCTTGCATGATGGTTTATTTTGTAGTACAATGCAGCAATAATGTTGTATTAAATATCCAGTAGAAATTATTTCGTATACACTAAAATATTTTCAACGTATTTATGATTTGTGTTATATCACCCCTCCTAAAATGTGCTTGTATGTGAACTGACATATGTGGTTGCCATATTATATCACTCATCATTTCTTTGCTACACGTGTGTCTCACAACCTTAACAGTGCTTATCGTAATGTATTAACTGAATACATTCTATGTGAGAGCGCCTCTCATGATATAACGCAGCATCAATCACTAATTTACTCATGTTCAAGTGGGACAGCATCCTTATTGACGCGGTCGAGTAGCTAAAGAGTCACGGTAAGGCTAAACAGATCAAAGGGAAGGGATCAGGTAAACAGGCAACCCCGCTTCTTAAGGTTGGAGATTGGGCGTCGGGCCCATCCCTGTTTAGACAGTATAGGCCATCGATGGACTCCTGTCGTCGATGTTCTCGGGGTTCTCTTTCTCTCTTCCGTAGCGATGTAGTTGGCTTGACACCCAACCCCTAACCCGCAACGCGTGCGTGTGTGAACGTCAGTTTGCGTAAACGAACGCGAATGATAGTCGAGTGACTGAGTGATAGGCTAAAGAGAGATACATATGTTGATTCGTTAGCAGATGGGAATAGATAAAAGGTGGTAATTGTAAATTATTTCTCAATTCTACACTCAAATCGGTATCAGCTAAATACAAACTCTATATGGTTAGATTGATTACGGCGTATGTCAAGTAAATCTTTTATCCGTAAATTGAACTTGGTATAAATGTGATATGATCAGGAGATAATAATAGATAGTAATAATAATAATAATAATAAGAGTAATAATAATAAGAATAATGATGATGATGATAATGACGATAATGATGACGATGATGAACGTTTAATTGACTTAAATACCCCCTTTTCCCACTAGGTGGATGAAAGGAGTGGTGCTATCTATTGAGGAAAGTCATAAACTAAAAACGGATGTTATTAATCCTAATATCTTTCCGAAAGCCTGCTTCTTTTGTGTTGACATGCTTCTATATTTCCCCCCATAAACCTGCAGGCTTATTGCTAATTGCTACGTATACAATGTCGGTGGTAGAAGAGGCAATGCGCCAATGTTGTCTGTATTGTGATGAATGTACCTAATAATATATAGGCTTTTCTTATATATTCTGCACGAGGAGGCTTTGCTGTGTTGCTCGTCTTTTTTATTTATTAACTATTGTGGCATCAACAAGAAATTACTCATTGTTAACAGATATTGTAAGAAACACGTTTGGCAATTTATTTATTTATTATAAAAACAGAGACACGTTGATTCGCAATATTTAAAATTCGGCAATCATTGATAACGTGTATAGTTACATGGTTAAAAAAAACAATATAGATGACAAACGATAGTTATGAATTATAGAATAAATTCATGTAAATATACTGAATAATTATGCACCGCTCATTTCAACTCGGTTTGGAGGACGTTATCAAACGAATTCTTGTTACATTTATCCGCTGTATTCAATGTATGTAAAATGCGACGACGTATTTGAAACGAACCGACAGCCAAGGCTGGCCAGGTTTTACTAATCCCGTTGCGCTCCAAATATGAGACAACCTTTGTTCCAAATTAGTTATGCAATGCTACGCCCATGGCAGCTGTAGTGCATTATTTTCCCCTAATATATAATATATATTTCGCATATAAGGATATGTACGGTAATATTATAATAATTATAATAATGTATAATATGTAATATTTCAGTATATACATGGCACTGAGAATGCCACATTTGTTACCCTGGCTGCTTATGCTAAAACTATATTAGACTAAATATCGCAGTTGCACATAAATGACTCGTCCGTACCATCTTCAGCAGCTCATCCTGTCTTTAAAAGTCCACGTGTGTTTTCTGTAACCACATCCCATGGAATATATTCCTGCATGATTTCCTGAAACTAGTAATCTTACATATTATTCTAATGGGCTAATTGTTCTAGATGTTGTTATTGGTGCATCTTTCAGACAAAAACTCTCCAATTAAATATTGTCGAATAATGCTAACAAACAAATTTCAGTTGCGCAATTTACCAGCTCTGCTATATGAGTCTAAGAGAGCCTCCGTGGCCCAGTGGTTAGGCCTCGTACACTGTCCACTGAAGGCTGTGAGTTTAAACCCCGGCCGGGGCAGTGAATTTTTTTAAGGTGTAAAAAACCTGGCTCTCAACATTGGAGACTGTGAATCTCCCATGGCTCGGATGACCACGTAAAATGGCGGTCCCGTCTCCAGTAATACTAAGGACAATGGGGACGTAAAAGAACCACTGAGGGCGCAAAAAAAAACTCTGGCTGTGACCACCTTCAGTGCCTTTCGGTTAAAAGGTTAACTACCTGGCTTTACCCAAGCTAGGTTACACCCCATGGCTAGCTATAGCCCTGCGTTATTATCCACGTAACCACGGGCTACGCAGTAAACTAGCCAGATCCAGCAGCGGTTCTGGCAATCAAGCAACAAGATTTCTCAGCGGCCGTCTCAGCTAAGCTGTGCCGTCGATCAACAGGATTTCTTGCCAAGGGACACTGTCCTGCGCCATGTAGCGTCGTCATCGTAGGCGTAGCTTCGCAGTTTAATATATATATATATATATTCTGTGTAAGGCCCGTCTCGGGCTCCCCCCTAGGCAATTATTATTATTATTATTATATATCGTCGTAGTGGCAGACAATATTATTCTGGAAATTTTAATTATCCTAATAGGGCGCATGACGTTCTTATTTTTACTATGACGATCAATTAATATTCTTATTCAAGCAGTTACATTTTGTTGGTGACAGCAATTTTTCGCTAGCTGTTTCATTTTATTTGGTTCCAGTTTTATGTGTTAGTTTTCCACAGCGAAATATTCATACACTTTTAGCAGTCCAATCGAACACACGGGTCTTCCTAAACGCGCACCCTATATATACTGAGGTATTTCAAATTTACTTTTCACGTTGCATTTACTCTAGTTGGATATTAAACCTTTTCCATATAAAACACTCCTAGTACCGAAAAATTTACGCCTGCTTTCCTTAACGACACGAAAACTGTTAGCAGGCATATTCTTTTGTTTGGCATAAGTTTTAGAAAGGATATATATATATATATATATATATATATATATATATATATATTATGACTATATAGTTAGACAGAGTTATGCGTCCAGGATTAGGCGCCAATCATTTTATAGCCTGGTATAATCGTTCAATGATAATTCAAGCTGCGTCAGAAATAATATTAGGGGGCATGGTATTTAAGACAACAATTACAAATTTACAACGAGGAATTGTGAATTTATTTATAACATTCAATGTGCGTCATCGGAACTGTGTGTTATAGTATACTAAACATCCTACATGGAGAAAATTTAAAATACGTAGGTACATCTTTACTTTTAAAATATTCGGTAATCCCTGCTGCATAAATTTGTAAACATTATAACATTATAGTACTTTCTGGGTGCACTGAATGTTCTAGTATATAGGTGCAATTAAACAACTGAAACATCGTTACAGCATTTCAGTGCTTATGTCAGTGCTTATTTACTATGTAAGTGCTATATCGATCGATAAATAGCATGTCAGTGCTTATTACTATCGCCGTGCTATATCGAATCTGCTAAAAGCGTTTAACTATGAGAGTTAGTTGCAATTTTACTTTGGATTCTGCGCGTAGGTTTTCATTTGTTCATGTGTTTACCCATTCTACCGAGCACGTGATTTCGTGTATTGCTGACTCATTTTTCATTCACATGTTATTTTGTTGGCCCAACAGAAGTTCGCGCGAAATTCAACCGAATTTGCAACCTCTCATGAATGGTGTGCTAACAAATCGCCACAACTGGCAGACGCTACGCAGAAGAGAACGAACGCAAGACAGAGAGGGTCGAAGTGGTTAGCAGTCAATTTCTATGTCACGGTGGCGTGTTACAGACACATTCGATTAGCGCGCCCACATGTTGTTTATTATAGCACTGATAATTCACGAACGAGAAAACGTCATTGCATCAGTGCACTATAGTCGATCAACTAGTAGCGTTACGTCTCTTTGGTTGAACTGCTAGATGAGAATGAGATGATGTCCTTGCATGATGGTTTTATTTTTGTAGAACATGCAGGCAATAATGTTGTATTAAATATCCAGTAGAATTATTTCGTATACACTAAAATATTTTTCACGTTTTAATGATTGTGGTATATCACCCCTCCTAAAATGTGCTTGTATGTGAACTGACATATGTGGTTGCCATATTATATCACTCATCATTTCTTTCGCTACACGTGTGTCTCGCCACCTTAACGTGGCTTATCGTAATGTATTAACTGATGCATTCTATGTGAGAGCGCCTCCTCATGATATAACGCAGCATCAATCACTAATTTACTCATGTTCAAAGTGGGACAGCATCCTTATTGACGCGGTCGAGTAGTCTAAAGAGTCACGGTATAGGCTAAAAAGATCAAAGGGAAGGGATCAGGTAAACAGCAACCCCGCTTCTTAAGGTTGGAGATTGGGCGTCGGGCCATCCCTGTTTAGACAGTATAGGCCATCGATGGACTCCTGTCGTCGATGTTCTCGGGGTTCTGCTCTCTCTCTTCTCGTAGCGATGTAGTTGCTTGACACCCAACCCTAACCGCAACGCGTGCGTGTGTGAACGTCAGTTTGCGTAAACGAACGCGAATTGATATGTCGAGTGACTGAAGTGAATAGGCTAAAGAGAGATACATATGTTGATTCGTTAGCAAGA